CCACCACTACCCCCACCCTCACCCCAAGTGTGTAACTTCCTTGCCCAATCTTGAATCCTCCCATTCAGGTACATGGCTGTCGCGGGGCTCATTCACGGTTCTGAACTCCCCCGGCACACCGAACGTCCTCAACGGAGTCACATTAGACGCCGCCAAAACCTTGGACGGGAACTTTGCGACCTACTGGAATCCCGGAGGTCTCTCCCAGAACTTCAACAACTGGTACATCGAGCTGAACCTCAGGACTACATACACTCTCACACGGATCGGGATAAGAAACTACGGAGACACCACGCACGATGTCAGAGCCTTTAAGATCCAAGCGCCGGTTAGTGGGATCTACTCAGACGTGAGGGCGTTCAGTGGCGTCCAGGCGGCAACAACCGAGCTACAGGAGTTCGGTGGGTTCAGGGAAACAGCGCAGTTTTGGAAGTTCGTCATCACAGAGACCCACTCGGGCTGGCAGCCGTGGCTCCGGGAACTGGAGTTCATGGGAGGTAAAAGGAACTTGCTTTTTCTTGTAAAGTGCTCTGTTGGGCTTAGGGTGCAATCTGCAAAAATATTGCAACTTGCAGTGTACTTGCTGAACAGCTGCAGTAAAATCGTCTTACCTGGGTGACTTTTTTTCTCTTGCACATTATTCTGATATCGATGTTTTCATGATTCCGCAAGAGCTGTATGCTTCCGGTGCTAGATAGTCAAAGCTTCCATAATAAATGTATGGAAATGTTGCAAAATATGGGTTTTATTACTATTTGATTGTTTTGCATTGATAATTTATTGATATAATCTAGTTGTTATTCATTTTTTTGAACAAAGAATATGTTTTACAACAGAAATACCACAGTGGTATTTACAATGTAATGGAGAGGCCATCAAAACAAAAATTGGACACTCCCAGCAGCTGCTAGTCCACTGGCCAACCTTTGGAGAAATACACCATCACAACGTTACTTCCATCACGGACGGATGTTTTGTTTGATTTAGTTGATTGATTTTGATTTGTACACCAGCTCATTATGTACCTTTGACATTTCTTCTTCTTCTTGTTATTATCATTACTTTGTTTTATTGTTTCCTTTATGTGTGAGAAGAGGGCTGACATAAGTTTCATAACTTTTTGCCCAATCCCTGAAAAATAAATGTGAATAAAATCAACAAACGGACGAGGTGTAATGCTGCGAATCTCTCTATTTCCAGAGACCTGTGGAGTATCCCAGTTCCGTCACGTCCCGGATACTGACTGTCCCGGAGGTGACATATCATCCCTTCTGGGCACCACCCTGGATATCTGTGCATCAGAGTGCTGTGCCAACCCGTCATGCCAATCCTTCCAGTTCAACGATAATAACAACTGCTATTTGAAAACCAGGCTCTGTACTGACGCGGAGAAAATTTCTGCATCAGCCGGCAACATGTATGACAAGTTGTCTACAGCAGGTTGGCAAATTAATCTTAAACTAGAGTCCCACGATCTCATACCTTCGCCAAATGATGTTAATCTTTATGACAAAGTAAAGATTATTCCTCCTGATTATGCAAATAGGATCCTCATTTGCATGAATTATATCAGTTGATCATATTCTCCATAAAAAGACAGCCTTATCTTAACAAAGAAAGTAATTCTATCATTACCTCAAATTATGCAAATGAGGTCCTTATTTAAATAAGTTGTGTTTAATGATGTTCACCTTTACTAGACTTTCAAATACCCCAAGTATGAAATTCCAGGCAGTTACCATTATGGAATTATAACATTTTCTCATTATATTATGCAAATTAAGTGTTGATTTACATAATTAATACCTGCCTATGTTTTTCTCGTTGTCAATTACATATGTCTTAAACTTGAATAGTCCTATAATGTAATGCAGCTGATTTATAGAATTTCCTCATTAATTATGCAAATAACATCCAGATTTGCATAATTATGTCAAGCATCACTTAAGCTACCTACAGGCCAAAAATAATGATGATCCGTCCACCGGTTCTTGAGTTATCCTCTTATAAATATTTTCATAGAAATGGCCCTGCAGTTCCTGAGCAAGCCGCGAGGGGGTCTAAACCTTTGTCATTTCTTCCCCAGCACAAGACCTACCTACCATCCAAATTTCGTGACCCTAGCATGTCTAGATCACGAGATATCAAAACCGGAAGTTCAGCTGCAGTACCATAAGAAGACGCCAGGTGGCCCAAAATCTAATCATTTCGAGGTCTCGTCAAGACCTACCCACCTACCAAATATGAAGTCAATACTTTTAAGCCTTCTCAAGTTATCGTGTTTACAGACAGACAGACAGACAGACAGACACACGAACGCCTACGAAAACATAACCTTCTTGGCGAAGGTAACAAGAAGCCATAGGTGACAATCCTCCGTGAAGTTTTATATTTTGCAACAAAAATAAGGCCAAATAATCCCAAGCGTCAACGCCAGACCTACTGTGCAGACATTAGGTAACGGTTAATACAATGAGGGCGCGTCACAACCATAAAACATAAAAAGACCTAAATCCATTACTGCTCTCAGGACGTGTAAAGATACTGTGCTTCAAGTTCGAAGTTCATTTTAAATACACACACACAATCATTGCATTCACATAAAGATCGGACTATCATGGTCGTGTCACTAGTAACAAAGACAGCCCCGCCGACTTACCGTTCCTGTTACTTATTAAACGCGACTGACCAGGCCAAAATCCAGCAACAGTTGCGGCCAGCACCGCGAGTGTTACTACCGCCGGTCAGATACCCGGGCGAAAACATCTCAACGACCTTATAGGGATGTTTAAAAAAAATAAGCATTTACTCCAATATAAAAACTGCTAGGGTAAAAATAAAAAGACGTGCATCACCACGGGCATAATGGCACACCACATGCCAAATTACACAGAAATGCTACGTACGGAACAATGCGTTTTGGCTGCGAACATCTTCGGTACCACTTATCGACCCCTCCGCGCGTCTGCATGAAGTTCCACCCCCCACCGCCATTCCAAACAACGGGTTTTTCTGGACCATTCCAATTTGCCTCACAATTGTAGGGGTGCATCTGCAATATTACATTGACCGCGAAAGCAGCAACGGGAAAAATGCACATTCGTGCATCAACACGGGCATGCCCGCAGACGGCGTATAAGATTACGTGCCGATAACACAAAAGGTCCTGACCTCCTTCACGGAGTAATAATCGTCATTTCGGTGCCTGCATGAGGACACTTTTATTTTCAATGTCAATGTTAGAAACCAATTGTATAACGTTTTATCACACATGTGTCAGGTCATGGAGATAGAAAAGGTTTATCAGCTCGTCCCTTGCAGGGGTCCGCCCCCCAAAAAAGTCTAGGGTCGTGACGTTTTTTACGTCCGTAATTTTGACACGAAAATTGCAGAATCACATGTACGTTACGTGCCCACACGTTATGCCATGCGTGACGTATTGACCCAAAACACGTGACGTATTGACCCCAAAACGTGACGTTTTTGACGTCCATATTTTTGACACGGAAATGATGCCATAGGCAGTTCTGCGAAAAAAACAAGACTTCACGGAGATCCGTAGAGATGCGAGCACAGTCTGTGAAACACGTCACCATGTAAAAATACTTTTCGTCTTTTATTTTTTGGTGTTTCTTATTGGTAGCGCATTATAATTGGTATCAGATGTTTTATACCTAATAGGTTTTTTTATCATAACCCAGCTAAGCAATGTTCTGCGGTTCCACACACTTTGAGGGATACACATACATACGTCACCTTAAAAAAAGCTACGGAAACGCACAACGTGG